CGACAAGAGTCTCCGTGGTGATAAAAACACCTGGTGTCCGAATCGATCGTGAGTAGCTCCCGCCGGAAAAGGTATATAGCGCCGGGGAAGCTACGCGCACGCGAATCTTGAGCCTTTATTAATTACACGCTTCTCTAGTAATGAGCTTCAGTACATGCACTGGTGTAATGCCAGACTACATACAGCGCCATGGTATATACTCTCGATGTTATTTGTAACTTTTATGAACTATATCTTGATGTCATCGAAACGAAGCATCCACGAGCAGCCGGTTAAATCAATCGAGTAAAGATGTTGATGCTGCTCAAATTTTTATTTACGAATGGGTGACCAGTTTCGACTACAATGTACAGGTAGTCCTTTTCAAGTATTTGTTTACCACGTGCAGTATTATTAGGTCAGTAATAAGACAAACTTTTTGGTCGAAACATTATCATTGTAGTTGTTGCAAAAAATGTCCTAGTCCATCCAATCCTTTGGCACCAGGAAACACATGGTACACACGTAGAGGACAATGTAAGAAGACCTATATTTCGGATGGACAAGGACATTTTTTGTAACAACGATATAATATTTCTCGTAATATTTCGTTCGTCTTATTATTGTCCTACTTGATAGTGTATATGGGGAACAAAACTTGAAAAGGACCACCTATACAGCGTAGTCGAAACGTCGTCACTTATAAGCAAATAAAGATTAGAGCAGCATTGGCCTTTAATTTATTGTACTTATGTTTACTTAAACTTTACGTTGTGGGCTCGTTTCGCTGCTAACGACGACGATCCTCTTCCGTAAGCCGAGTCAGATCTTCAAAACGATTATTTCCGCCGAACAATTTAAACTTTTGCCAGGCCCATCGGTGTATATTGGTTTTTTTTTTGTATCCGGGCGGATCATCGAAATTCATGCCGGTGCGTACAGTTTACTTTACGAGGCAACGCTTCCGTTTGCCATGTATAGCCCACGAAGAAGCTCCTTGGCGCCGTTTAAAACTGCGAGTACGCAGGGCCAAAGAAAGCGAGTAGAAAAAAAAGGCGCGTCTTAATTTATTTACAAGGCCAAGTACCGCACAAGCTGGACGTCGGGTTGTGCGGTAAAACATTTTTTAAACACATCTTCTCTTCGAGGATTGCTTCATGTACAAAATTTATTTATTATCTTGGTAAAATTGTAGGTACCCACCGAAGTCACGAGGTGCTTTATTTTATGTTGTTTGCTCGTGAGTTTGGCCACAGGCAAGTAAAATTAAAAAAAAGTGAAGGAGAAAAAAGACAGATCATTCGTACTCTATGGAGTGTACTATGATGATTACGTTGCTTTTGGTGTCGGGGGTACCTACCTTGTGTACATTTTTTGGCCGGAGCTTCCTCCTTCTCTCCTCCTTCTTGTGCGAAGTAGAATCGCAAGGGAAGGGAAAAGGGCACGCGCATTAGGTTGACTGGCACTTTGACAGGGGTGTAATTTCTAGATCGCCGGGATCAAGTACGCGCTGAGGTTCCGATCTTTCTCTTCAGTCCCCCTGTTCAGCCTTACTATATCCGCTCGAACGTTTCAGCAAAGCGCGTAATGAGCCGTACAATTAGGGCAAATTGCTCAATCAGCTGATGATTAACGAAGCTTGCTTTCCCACCTTATTTCACGTCCAACAGCTTTGAAACGAAGTTGCGAGATGTTTTAATCGGTTTAGCACTTGTTTTTTTTATAACTTGGTACAGTTGTGATGTTTTTTTTTTTTTTTTTTTCTTGGATGACCGAGATGAAAAGAGTTTCTTCGATTATTTTATACCTACTTATCAACCGGTGTGGTTGGGGATCATTTGTACCCGACTGCCATCTGTTCCGTTTGAAAGTTACGGATGCTCGTCATTACGAAGCTTCGTGGCAGTGAACAACTTCGGAGAATACACTTCATTCTCTCACGCCTTGCTCTTGTACAAAAGACGGGCTTTCAATTCCCCCCCCCCCCCATTAATCTGATTACAATTTAAGAGTAGCGGTTCAACAATAATAGACCTCTACATTTTATCGAGGCAACAAAACAAACCGTAGAGCTCCAGGTAGTTCAAAATAGAGCCAATAAAGTTAGACGCAACGTCTGACTTTCACGTTTATTTTTCGTCCAAATTACATGTAGTTTCAGGTTTATAAGCAGCATCGAAACAACCACCCCCTCAGCAAACACAGGTGAGAATTTGACTGATCGAGGGAAGCGTTTAAAGTGTTCCACAATCCGCAAATCGGTACACCTCTGGGAACAACCCAACGCTGTCGGCAGTAGCTAAACCATCCGTGTAACCATCCGTACGACCTACAAAAAAAAAAGGGTTGGAGGGAGGAGGGACAGGAGTCGCCGAGAGAGTCATCGCCACCGGGATTTTCCCCGAGAGTGTTTATAATACGCGGTTGGGCCGAAGTTGTTGAACCGTGTATACGTCCGCTGATGAAGTAGGAAGTTGCCAGTCATGCGAGCGAAGCTGCTGCCTATCTTTAGACCCCGGGGGCGCGCGCCTCGTTTATTTTATTTTAATTTTTTTGCGAGTGCCGGTGCAACGCTCGCCTTTTGTTGCAAATCACGATAAGACAGCGGCTCTCGGCTTATTAAATACAGATTATCCCCGCGAGCGGTTCGGCTAATCGTTTCGGCGTTTGGCCACCATACCGTTTGCAGCGGGGGATCAAGGGACGGGTTGTATACACGCGCGCGAGGCGTCACCCTACCCCCGGCCTAATGAGCCGCGTCACGGAATGAAGTGTGAGCGCCCGAGTGACGATCACCACCCTATCTACCGTCTTTTTGCGCCTTCGTTACGCTGATGTCGCGCTAATTGATTGATTGATGATACGTAGCTTTGCTCCTATATATAGGCTATATTTCATAACTCGTTGAAGATCATACGTGTTAGGGGACAAAAATATGTACGTATAAAATAAATCAGGGTCGTTTCGCTGATTACAAGATATCTTCTTCGCTGCGAATACAATAATCTATGTGTTCGACTGATGGATCGGTGATTGTTTGCTGAAAAATACTCCTATAAGTTTACCAGATTTTACCGTTGATAAAGATTCGATCGTCTAGGGGGTGTCGACGGTGTATTCAATCAATTATATATCAATGCAATCAAGGGATTTATCGGTTGAATTTTGGTTTTTACAGTGAACTACCATAACTAGTTTCGTTGAGAGATGGTGTTTTTTGGAGGAACCGGCTAATGATTCATGCGGACTTTTGGCCTCTTTCAGCCGACTCTGGCTTTCGGGGCTATACCATTTTCGAGAGACGTTTGCTCGAATAGACGGGGAATTTTTTCTTGGTAACTTGAACGTTCCGAGTATTGTTTGGTTACGTTGGAAACGAGATCACTTTTTGGATTATTTTTGTCGATCGCGTGATTTTGTTTTTTATGCGACAAATTACGAAGATGCTACTGGTACTTTGAAAATTTTAATAACGTGAAGTTTCGAGCTTACACTGCTTGGAATCATTTAAACGAACCTCAAATACTAATAAAAATGTATTGATTTATAATTCGTGACTTTAAACATTTTTTTCCCAACTCGTCTTGTCAAAGTAGGTTGTTTGCATGTTTCGTTTGACATTAAACTTTACAGTGCAGATAAAACCAACAATAATATACATAAAAAAAAACCAAGACCGCAATTACTTGCTATCTCCAACGTTTGACCTACTTTTTTCATTTCTCTCTGTTTCATTCGACGCTTGCGACTTTAGTTGGAAGTTATTTTAAAATTTTGAAGTATAAATACACGCGATCGTTGCCTCTATCGGCAAATGTTTCTTGAAAAGATGAAAAAACTTTTACATTTACTTAAACATAATGAAAAAAAGAAATGTGTAGCAACGAATTTTGCTGTCGTTTTTGTCTGATTTCTAAAAAGAAAATTTATAACTACGTTTTTTTTTTTTTTTTTTTTTCTCAAAGTTTAAAAATATCCATGGATGTATACTTTAGGCCCGTGCGATACTTACTTAAAGACGAGATAAAACTGTCTCGATGAAAAAAAAACTAAAATTTTTGAAATTGCGAGAAGGTTTTGAGCTTATTTTTGAGACTTCCAAGAGTCTCGAAGATCTCGAGATTTTTTNGAGTCAAGTTATTGGAAACATTTTTGTATATATTTTGTACTAAACTTTGTCCTCTGAAGTTATGTAGCTCTGTTGGAAAAACTTTATACCAATTACTGTGTTACAGATGGCAACGAAAACAATTTTATTTTATTCACAATAAGATTTTATTTTATTGTTATTGCACTTCCTAATTAGATCGTGGTATCATCGACCACATCAATAAAACACGGCAACAAAGTATCCGTTAAAGCAACGAAAAATCAGAAGAAACTCTGTGAGAACAGCATAAGTGCTGAAGGATCTCCTTTTATGCGACGTCGTAAAAACATTGTTTTTTATTTATTTATTTTTTTCTAGCCTTGAAAAATGTATACGATAACCACTTGTGCCTGTTTGACAACAAAGTTTACTCGTGGACCGTAGAACAAATGTAATATATTCCAACGACCTTACTAAAATTGCTTTTTTTTTCTTAGATAAATACTTGCATCACACATATATACGTGTTTAACGACGAAAAAAGTCCCCCACTGCACGAAACTTCGCCGGCATCGGTAATTTTCGTACTTTTATTACCGATGCATTACTTCGAAAATTATCATCCAAGGTTGTGCGCGACGGCTATTTCGAGCCTCGTTTTCTATTAATAAAACAAGCTGTATCCATCTCTACGAGAGCCGATAGCAATAATAACAAAGTCTTTTACGACGCCGCCGAGCTCCGTGCACGCGGTGGTGGTAACCATGTAGCCTTCACGCGCACGATGAAAACAAAAAACAAAAACTCCGCACACGTGCGTCAAACGCGTATACTTGTCGTCATATTATTTATATATTACGTAGACATATATTATGTATACGTATTGAAGGTTGAATTTTAATATGATGTTTGTTTCCTTGATGTTTTTCAGTGTGCCAAAGTATAGACATAAGGAACAGGGCGACCGAGTTCGATAAGCTGACGGGCTGCCGGGTCGTCGAGGGCTTCATTCAGATCCTCCTGATCGACGAGCCCAACCACGCGGTTTTTGACAAGATCATCTTTCCGGAACTCGTGGAAATCACTGGGTATCTGTTGCTCTTTAGGTAAGTTTCTTTTTTTTTTCTTTCATTCCCATACTTATACCTATGTAAACGTGACAATTTCTTTTTTTTTTTTTTTCTACGAAAATTTTGTATTTATTGCAAGATAAAAATTAAAAAAAAATTATTTTTTAATACCATACAATGAACTTTATCCTCGCCAAACGTTGCGTACTACTTTTGACTGAAAACTTTTTTTTGTTGTCCATTGCAATCGAAGTGGGGATAAAAATAACTCAAGCTCTAGAAAATTAGGCCAACCCTTGAACTTTGTCGTGATAAAAATTGAAAGTACCAAAAAAAAAAACCCTTTTTTTTAACTGAACATCGAAAAAATGGAATGAAATTAATTTAAAACAAAAAAAAAAACAAAAAACACACCCACAGAGTACCAGGATTGCGAAGCATCGGCCAATTGTTTCCAAACCTGGCAGTGATAAGGGGCAGCCACATACTGTACAACTATGCCCTGGTGGCCTTCGAGATGGAGGACCTGCAGGAGATAGGATTGTACTCGCTGACCGACATCGTGCGTGGCTCTGTGCGCATAGACAAGAACAAGAGGCTCTGCCACGCCGATACCATCGACTGGGACATGATAGCGCAAGCAGGCAAGGGCGAGAACTACATCGGGGTGAGTGGAAAAAATTAAAAATCACAGAGATACATTAAAAGTGTGAATTGCTCGATTAACCCGTGAAAATCATCGGCCATAGCATCGCAAAATAAAGCATCAGCCATCCCTGCGCTTACGATTTCCGTTACAATATATATGTACATACATCAAGACGCGAGGGTTCTACCCAAAAATCTCCACCCGGATAATTTCTTGGCGCAGCCATCAAGCATCACGTGTCTCCTCAAATCCGCGTGAAAATGTCGCGACGAACCGTAACCACGTCGCACTACCGTGAAATTTATTTTTCACTCGCCATGCTGCAACGTACAACACACGCGTACGCAGAAATCCGCTGTAAAAGTAGCCAGCGAACTATTGCGTCGCAGCACCGGAGTAGTTCCGCGAATTCAATTACAATCTCGTTAAATCGGGGTAAAAAAAATAGAGAGAGAGAGAGAGGGGGGGGAGAATCAACCGAGCAACAATAGTTATATATGTACAAGCACGAATGTATACCGGAGAGAACAACACGCTAGTTCGTGTTGCCAGTGAGCTGTTATGTGCGCGGTTTGCGAAACAAAACACAAGGATACAAGTATGTGTATATGTATGTCATGTATATAGGTTGGCGTTTGCGTTTCTCGCGGAAAAACGTATATTCGTACGGAAACACCGACCGTGTGAAGTAAAAGGGAATCGTTGAGCTTTTCGTGAGTTTGGAGCATAAAAATAGGGGAATCCCAAAAAAGCGCGGCATTTTTGTTCGTCGATCGCCACTTGCTCGATCAATAGATGATCGCGTCCCGCGTTCACGTGTACAAAGACAGCATGTACACGCACGTAGTATTTACGTAAAGTAGAGGCAAAAGACCGCGTTACCGGGTACGCTCGTGCAGGTGTTCGTTTAACTACTAAGAGCTATTCCGCGCAAAAAAAACAAAAAAAAATAAACTCGAAGGTCCCAGATATCGAAATAATTTATTTCAAGCCTTGTCGATTTATAGAATGATAAAAGTATTAATTTTTACGAAAAGAACTTGAAATAAGCGTGCCACGCATTACTTATGATTTGCATTCATCGATTTTTCCGCGTTTAACAGAAATCTTTAGCCCAAAAACTTGTCACAAAAAACACATTTTTCCTCACTTTGAGAGAACTAACAACCTACACAACGGCATCTTATTCGTGGTATATCGCTCAAATTCAGCAAATACTGATGAATGTGTATTATAGTACATATAAATGTAAGACCTATAGGCCTCGATTTCGCTCGCTCGTGCGTTTGAATTTTCATCGCCCCGCAGATCGGCAAAAGGCGAGAAAACGCGACCTAGAGAGCGCGCGAGAGGTAAGTACCAGGAAAACAATGGTATATTAATACACGTGCGCTGCAGTACTGCGTATACGTCGTTGTAAGTGCATACTATTATAGAAGCTTGTGTCCATAACTCCGTACCTATACGCGAGTAGCGAGAGCTTACATATACGAGCTTGTTGTTTTTCTCCTACTCTGGTATACGATTCCGAGTGAGCAGTATTGCGTACCCACTTGTGCTGCGTACGTACCTTGTTAAGCACGCCAATTTTACGCGTTATGATTTTTTTTATTTATTTATTTTTCATTTACAATTGTTTTTTTTTCCCCCCGAAACAAGCTTTCGGGGAAACAAATAACGATGATGACGAGTAGTCAGTCAGGTTTCGTTGAATCATCGTTGTACTTATTAACATTTTCCCTATCTCAATCTTGACGGATACAATAATTTTCATTTATGACGTGACTGCCTCACCAGATCAGTGACTTTATAATGATTATTTGTTTTGTCTGATTTATTAGTTATTTAATTTCATTACATATTTTTTAATTATGTATCTATCAAGACTAGATAAAAGCTAAGTGATTTTAATACCTTAGTGTACTCCATAAGTTTATGCAAAATTAATTTGATAGAGCAAAATTAATTTATCATGACTAATAAATAAACTGTGTTTTTATTGAGTAAATAGTTAAATTAAGATGACATTTGCATTTGGGGGTAATAGAAAAAAAAATTATTGTAAATTAAGACTGACATGATTTACTACCTGGAGTTTTTTTCAGAACAATCAAAACGTTCAGTTGATTCATTATTCACATCAACGAAAGCATCATGACGTTAAATAATGACAAAGTAGAACTGATTAATTCAAGATATTATTCAATTTTTTAAAACAGTTATTTTAGCTTTTGTACCTAAATAACTATTTATATAAATGTTTTAAACAATGTAATTTTTTTTTTTTTTGCATTTTGCATAAATTTTCAAGTGTACTCTGAAACTTTTTAATTAATGATATATTGTGTAAATGAAAATATTGACGTAAAAAAACTAACTGGTTCCATGTAAAAATAAAAAGCGCAGCATTGTTGATATGAAAAGAAAATTTTTTCAACTAAATGAAAAGTTGTTACATTTTTTATGAAATTGTTGTTTAAAGAACCAAATCAATTTTATAGATCGGAAAAATTAAAACATTTTGTGCAAAATTCTTGGAGAAAAACAGTAAATGCCAGGTGGAGGAAAAAAACAAACAAACAAACAAACAAATAAATGAACACCTAATCGTAATAATGTTCCTCAGCGAGCTAATTGTAGCGCCGATAATTGCGGCTGCGAGCGAGTCACCTGTACACGCATACATCCATGCGAAAATGAGTCAATTTGCGGGGCGCCGTGGCGTCGAACAATCAATGACCTGCTACTCATGCTGTCACACGTAGTATGTATCACGCGTGCAGGCGACAGCCGTTCCGTCCACTCCCCATTATCACTTATCTTTTTCCTCCTCCCACTGTCCACTACTTCCTACCTATTTATTTTTTTTTACTTTTACTTTTTTTTTTTTTTTTTTTTTTTTTTTTTTTTTTTTTTTTTTTTTTTTTTTTTTTT